GAGACACGGTGACTCTCTGAGGGTTTGCGGGCAGTCACTGCCTCCTGTGCGGCGATAGCGGGGCAGCGGGACGCAGCCGTGGTACCAACGCAGCAACAGCGGGAAAGCTTTGGCCGGCTCCGCTCCCACTGAAAAAATATTTCCCAGCAAATTCGCAAAGACAAAACCCTTCTGTTTTATTATTTGCTCTTTATAGCTGTTCACGTCCAGGAAGACGCTTCATCTTGCTAAGCTCTCCATTTCCCAGCTGAAGGTCTAGGGTATTTTTGAAAATGCATCTCTTTTTCCCAGCTCGAGCTTGCATTTTTATAGAGCTTCGTGATACGTGTTTTAGACCGAGTTCCTTCTTTTTGTCTGTAGCTGAGATAAAGAATTAGTAGTTTAAAACAATAACTACATGTTCCACTATGATCGAGGAATTAGATAATCTGGCATGTTTGCTTAAGGGGTCTGTATCTTGGGGCTTTTATAGGGCAGTATTAAAGCCCTGAGCCTTCTTATTATGCCAATACCCAGAAGATTGCTTTAATGAGAAGTAAAGGGCCTTTTTCCAATTACAAGGGAATAACTGTATTAAGTTCCTGTGTTATGTCAACCTGCTTTGATTTGATTACTGCGAAAGAAATGGATTTATCTGTCAGTGTTACTTAATTAAGCCTTCTCATTGATGTTTTGCAGAGTAATATAGTGTCGTTTGCACATTTAAGTATAAATACAAAGAAAATTGGTCGAAAGCTAAGACGCGACCCCTGAAGATAAGCGACAAGAGCCATTGCTTGTCATTTTCGGATCAGAGTCCCGAACTTTCAACTTTGGTGGAAGACCTTAAGTGTTACGTGGGCTCAGATTAAAGCAGGGTAAAGGGCAAGGATTTTTCAGCCAAAATTGAGATGGCTGAACATCTTGGAGTCTCGGCGAATCCTAGTACACTTGGGTACATAGGATGATGTCTGCCTACCTTTAGGATGATGTCTGCCTACCTTTAGTGTCTGTTTTCCCCTCCTGCATCCCCAAAGCTGTCCCCTTCCCCACGCAGGAGTGTCCTTCCCTCTCAGGGGTGCTTCCAGCTGCCCAGGTGGGACTTTCTGGGTTGGTCTGGGATGTTTGCAGAGACGGGGAACACCCCAGCCCTGAGGTCCGTGTTGTTCCAGTGTTCTTTTAAGCGTCTGACAGTGCCCTCTGGTCATTGGCATACTTGGCTCGAGGGAGAAGTAGGGATAACGCAGCAAAGAGTACCGGAAAGGAGAACCGGGCAGGAATTCAGCTCACCACAAAAACATATCTTTAACTGTAAGCGCATAAATAGTTCCTCTCACATCATTGGGACCGTCCAGCAGTTGGCCACGAAGCTGGTATTGCCGGGTGCTGCTGGAAAGTACTGGGCATCTTTGGGAACATGGTGCCCTTTCCTTGTGCCTGAAAAAAACAGGTTTTTGAAGAAGGTGACTGAAAAGAAGCCCTGTGAGCGGGTTAAATGGCTGTGTCAGCCCAGCACCTGCGGCAGGGGTGACAGAAGACCCTCGGCTGGAGCTGGGTGGTGGGCTCCCAAAGGGAAGAGCTCAGTAGCCGAAGGCACCCTTTGCCCAGGCTGGTATGGGGATGCCCCCTTTCCCTCTGCGCCGTCTTTCCCGGGCACTGAGTGCCAGAGAAGGGTTATTGCAGCATGCAGCCCTCAAGCGCGTTATTTTAGGTGATGCATTCGAACCATGGAATTCTTAAAATATAAATAAAAAGGTACAGTATAGCAGTCTGAAACCCTTTCTTGGTGTGTAAATCTTGCTCCTAGCGCTGGCCATGAGCCAGCGTAAGGGGCCTTGACAACGTGTTTTATTTTAGATTAGCTGACTTCTACAGAAAATCAGTATGTTGATAAATGAAGTTTCGAACAGGGAGCTCCGTGAATAATGCCGCCTGGTTAAGGCGGGCAGAGCTCCCCAGGTAGCCCCACGCGGAGCCCTTCGCTGGTGTTGCTCTGTCCTTTACCGTCCCTGTCACACGTGGACGAGCGGGCTCGAGGGTCCGCGCTGGGGAGCCGAGCGTGGGATGGGGCTGAAGGACCGGGTTTATCACCCATCTGGAGGTGGGCTCGGAGCTGTCGCCCAGTCCTCCGGGTGCTGTTGCTGAGGGCTGAGCTGTTCCGCTCCCTGATGGGTTTTGGAAGCTGTGCTCGAGGGTGGGACCGTGCCCATCAAAGTCAATGGCATAATATCCACTGATTTTTAGCAGGCAATGGATCGGGGCTCTACAGAGTTAATTGCCTGTTACATAACACAAATGATTTTTAAAAATATGCCTAATTAACCTAATAGAATGGTTGATCTGATCTGTCAGGTAAATGATACACATTTTCTTTCTTTTTCTGGAGCTTAATTAAATATTTACCTAAGAGTGTCTTGTGCTATTAACACCTTCATCTGTTATTGAGATAATAGGAATTGTAATTGGGGGAAAGTATTAAACTATAGAAATATGTGGGGGGGTTTGTTGGTTTTTTTAATCTTGGAAATCAACCAGATTTGCTCACAGCACCTGTATTTTGAAGCGCTAACGACCGTATCTGTTTCTCAGACGAGCAAAGTTCCCACCAATCCTAGAAGTCCGGGTGACCCAACGCCCAGGTGGAACGGGAGCTGCTTGTGCACGGAGTCTCTGGCAGCGCTCTGAGAAAGTTTCTCTAGCCAGCAAGGCCAAATACGTATTTTTCCAATTAGATTAAAGCTACTGTTTGTGCGTGGCGAAAGGCGAGCAGTATTATTATTATTTCATTAGGATGCTAGTGGGTACCCAGGACTAAGTTGGAAAGCAGCACTGAAATGTGCAATAATACTGTTATAGATCAACGTCAACCACATTTCCTGATATTTAACATACTGTAAGTAAAAAAGTAATGGATTTAAGCAGTGTGGTCCAGTCCATCAATGTGGTAAAGGATGTGCTTAACGTTAAGCATGAGTGATCTCATTTACTTGAATTAACATGAGAGTGAACCATGATTTCAGTGGAATTATTCACAGCCTTCCATTAAACCTGCGCGCAAGTGCCTCACCGAACGGGTGTTATGTTTCTCCATTAAGTTTTTAGCCAAGTGGAAAGTCTCGGGAGACTCCCAACTCATTTTACTAAAGGCTTCACGATGGCAGGGGTTCTGCGAGCCCATCCTGGCATACTTGAGCGCACTGCAGAGGATCTTCTGCTTTCAGTGTCAGCGGAGTTGAGTTGGTGGACTTCTCCCGAGCCTTGGTGCAACCTCAGCAGTAGCGTGGCCAGGGTGGAGGTGTACGTCACTGCTCAGCGTACCCAAGAGGGACAGCCCCCTGCACCTGGGGTGTCTTTGGAAGAAGTTACTGTTTGGGTCTTTTTGTTTGTGTGGTTTTGTGTGTTGGTTGGTTGGTTGGTTGGTTCATTGGGTTTTTTTTGGTTCAGTGTCACAAGGAAGTTTTAATAACAGTAAACTGGGTTAACTGACAATACTGGGAAAGACTTGGGGAAAGTGGAATAAAATTAGCTGCATCAAAGGCGAAATATTGGGAATTGTGAAATATGGAGAGCGTTCATATGCAAAAATGTGTCTATTACCTGATTTTTGTCAAGGGAAATGTGGTCTTGCAGTCTAGCTAGCATCTTGCATCCAGAAGCACGCTGCAGAGGCTGACTAGCGAAGCTCACCTTACCTTCTTGGTCATAGAATCACAGAATAGTTCAGGTTGGGAAGGAGTCCAACCCCCCTGCCATGAGCAGGGATGTCTTCCACCAGCCCAGGTTGCTCCAAGCCCCATCCAACCTGACCTTGAATGTTTCCAAGGATTGGGGCATCTACAGCTTCTCGGGGCAACCTGGGCCAGGGACTCACCACCCTCAGCGTAAAACATTTCTTCCTTATATGTAGTCTGAATCTCCCCTCGTTCAGTTTAAAGCCATTCCCCCTCATCCTATGGGTCCACTCTCCAATCAATAGTCCCTCCCCAGCTCTCCTGGAGCCCCTTTAGGCACTGGAAGGGGCTCTGAGGTCTCCCCTTTTCCGCCTTCTCTTCTCCAGGCTGAACCCCCCCAACTCTCCCAGCCTGTCCTCCCAGCAGAGGTTCTCCAGCCCTCCCAGCATCTCCGTGCCCTCTTCTGGCCCAGCTCCACCAGTGGACCAAGCTGGAGGCAGCACCGCAGGGGGGTCTCCCCAGAGCAGATCGCAGCAGAGGGGCACAATCCCCCCCTCGCCTGCTGGGGATGCAGCCCGAGATGCGGGGGGGCTTTGTGTTTTGTTGTGAAGTTAAGAAGAATTTGTAGGAGTCCCGGTTCCTTGGTCCTTATACCCTAAGTGGCAGGTTTGACCACATCCTAGCCCGTATGCAACGGGGGACGTGTTATTCCTAGGGAGACCCTCTCAAACAAAGGGGAAAAATAATTAAAACCGCCCTGAAATTAACTGTCTGGAATCACCCGACCGTCTCTCACCCAACGGTTGCAATGAATTTTCTATCAAACTTTAGAGGAAAAACCAGAAATACTCCTTCTGTGCTCAGTTTTGGGGATGCGCTTTTCCCTTCTCGAGAAATAAATAAGTGCGCCAATGCTTTTTTGCAGCGGGAGCCTAGATGGGGTGGGGAGAGGTACATCTACCCCAAACGTGCCTTACTCTAACTTCTAAGTTTTGTCTGTTTTATCGTGTTTTATTTGTACTGTTTGATAATACCTGGTTTTGTGCTGGCGATTTTGACGGGCTTTTAACCGGTACAGCGCAGTCACTTTTTAAAGTGTCGGAAAACGCTGAGACGCTGAAGTAATTTTTATGCTCAAACCTCAGGTTCCTGAGGGTCCGGTTCATTTCTGCTGTGAATTTAAATGAGTTAATTTAAGCAGTGGGTCAGAAGCCACTACCATCGTAGTAGCCCTGTGCCTGATTCTTAATTAAAGGCAACAGGAGATTAATTTGAAACATTAATTTAAAAGTGCCTATACAAAAGGAAAGAATTATTGCAATAAAGCCTAAAGAACTTTTTTGTCCCTAGATGTAGAAGACAGAACTAGCTCAGGGTCCTGGGGGAATACAGGACATCCTAGTCCATCCAGGGTAAGTATATCTAATCTTTTTCCCCAAACCAGACTTACTGCATATGTAAATTTACAATCTTAAATATGAGTTTTACACCTGATTGTGTGGAAAAATGGGCATCCAAAGTTGGCTGTAGCCTCTCTTCTCTTTAAAATTGCTTTTTATCTTTTTTTTTTTTTTTTTTTGAACATTCAAACCCGATCCTGCGATTGAATTTGGCACCTGCTCTGCTACTCCTAACAGGTAGCGAGAAGATTAATTAACCATTTTTTTTCTCGCTACACCGTATCAGCCACTGCTACCACCGAGAGTGCAGGTGGAGCAGACGATGCCGACTGTTTCATTTTCCGCGGTTGGATTTTTCGGGGGTTTGTGGGTGTCACCAAACCTGAGGGAGGGCCAGTGCCCCCGCCACGGGCAGCGCTCATCCCCGTGTGGATGCTTGCCGGCCTCTCCACGGCCATCTATGGCCACTCCACGGCCACCCGTGGCCACCCCAGGCCTGAACTCTGCCCGCCCCACAGCGCGCCTCGGCTGGGGTACGAGTGGGGTCCCCCTCCGGGGAACGCAGACACCGAGCCGCAGCCTGGCACGGCGAGACTTTTGAGATTTGCGAGACAGCTGGAGGCAGTCATTTCCATTGCGGCCGTGGAGAGTCATCCAAATTCTTTAGACACCTCAGGATCGGGATGCCGCTTGCTTTGGTGGGGAAGAAATGCCGTTTCCAGCAGGGAGGCTGTGCGCTGTGCCCCGAGCTGGGCAGCACGCTGCGGGCAGCCCTGCCGATGCTCCTGGGGGGCCACCCCGGCAGCCCCGCTCCCCGGCCGGAGCATCGCGCCTCTGCCTGTCCTCGCGGCTGGGCACGGCTTGCGCTTCCCCGCCGAGATCGTTATTTCTGTTTACTTCCCGCAAAGGCATGAAGTACACTTATGCTGGGCAAAAAGTGGCTTCGCTCTTACTTATGCCCTTATTTAAACAGTTTGTTTAAATTGCTTTTTAATTGTTTTCTAATTAACGTGAAGGATCAGGGCTCGGGAGCAGCGCTGCCGGCAGCTCCGTGCCCTCAAGTGTCTTTCTGGCGAGGAGAAACGCGGTTGCCCTGTTCATCCTCGGTCCGTCCTTTCCCCTCGGGGCAGGTCCTGCCCTCGGCAGACCTAACGCCAGCAGAGGTTTTTCGGGGGGATGTCCGCGGGGCTGCGCCGCACCACGGGCAGCCCGGGGGGGGGGGGGCCCCCCCCTTCACGGGCGTGCTTTTTCCTGCCGCCGAGGGAGGGAAGCCCGACACCTTTTCTTATTCCGTCCTGCTTAGCATCCATTACGTCATTACTGCTCACATCTGTCAGTTTTATTTTTATCCCTTTTTTTTTACTTGACACTTGTATTGCTTCCGAGGGAAAAATGTTTTGAAAAGTAAATTCTAAATTTGCACACACAATTATTTATGCATGCAAAAACTTGAATGTGAGCGTACAATTAAGTTTTGAGATAGAAAGAAAAGAGCACGAGCCTGGGAAGAATTCTGGAGTTTGAATCAAGGCTGTGCATTAACTCGCAGTGTTATTCTGCAAACAGCCTGACCTCTCTCCCGTTCCTTCTTTGTAAAATGATGATGGTATTTCCACGTCGGGAGAATTAGTTTCTCGTGAGGTCTGAACCGAAGAAACAAAACATGCCATAACTGCCGCGCTTGGCCGGTATTTGTAGTTAAATTTAAGGTTTTGCTAACGGAGTGACTGCAAGCAGAAGGTTACGCCGAGGCCGTTTAGAAGATTAAGGGCCCGATCCTGGCAAGGTTTTTGTACATCCTTGACTCCGTGGGTAGCGCCTGGGGCTGTTGGTGCCCAGAGGAGCGCTGAGGGGTAAGAAGGCAACGCGGGGCAGGAATGGGTCGTTGCCGCTCACTAGCCACGCACGGCATTGCGCGCACAAAGGATGAGCGCTATGCAGGGTTTGTCAGTGAGAAATAACTTTCCACGCCCACTGTAAAAAAAAAAAAAAATCTAAATTTTTTTTTTATAGTCCAGTGCACATATATAGCAGTGAGGTGATTAAGATGGCAAATTTCTACGTAAAAATAGAGTTAACAAGCAAAATATTAAAAGGAGTATTTTTTTGCTGGTTTTCCGTGTGTTATGGGCAAGAAGACTTTTACGCTAAGAGTGGACTCGATGCTGAATTGCACAGCACGAAATTCCAGGAACCTCATCTCAGTCGCCCATTCAGGATTATCCACACAGCAAACCGAAGTCAATTACTAATGAAATAAAAATTTGAAACAGCTTTAAAAATGTTCTGGAACGCATCACTTCCAGCAGAATCAATAGGGAAAAAACAATAAAGGGAACAATATTTCTTAGAGCTGGCTTAAACTTCGAAGGGAAATATGGACCTGTAGATTTTGAAAAGTGCTGTTTAAACTTGTAAAATTGTGTTTTTTCCCAATTTGTTAACAGAACTATGGAGATGGGACTCACTATGATCATATGGCGAGCAGAGACCTTGGGTCGCATGACAATCTCTCTCCTCCCTTTGTCAATTCCAGAATACAAAGTAAGAAATCAAATTTCCTAACTTGACCGTGTTGTTGAAAGTGGAATAAGTGAACCAGAAATAAAATTCTGAGGGTTTAAATCCCTCATCCTTATTTTTGGGGTTGATTGTACTCGGCATAAGGGTGGGAAAGTGGATTTTTATGTTTGGGTTTTTTTTTTTTAAGCTATCATGCAATTTCAAAAATGTGCACCAATGATGTTTACTGAACAGACTGTGTTTTCTTGCTGGGAGAAGGATGTGACTTTTGATGCAGTAACAGCAATATTTGCTGAAAGAGGTTAAATGGTCATTTCCGAAGGCTCAGCCTTTCCTTTTCGAAGAAGCGGCCAGTTGGCAGAGAAAGTCAGGACGCGCTCTGAACAGGACTTTTAAAGTAGAAAAGGATTTCTGAAAATATGATAAATACCTGTTCACAAAAGGGAAGAGATAAATAACTGGTGAGGGAGACTGAAGCCATTGTTTGTTCTGGAGCGCGATGGATCGCTGCCTGCTGGGACCTGTGAGCCGCCAACTCCTGGATTTCAGGCGAAGGTAGTTGCAGCCGATTCTGCTTTAGAGGAGTGAGATTTTGCCCGGGGCGTTTGGCAAGGACCCTCCTTCCACCCCACACCCCGTGATAGAAAGTTTTGACGCCCCTGAATAATCATTGAGCTTAGCAGCAAACACCGTAGCAGCATGAAGAGAGGCTGTAATTATTTGTAAGTGAATGATAGCTACTTTCTTTAATTACGGTTGATAAATGAGTTTGGTTAAAGTAAATATATGATGTAAAAATATTAGTAATGCTTATGCTCGGCCAAGATCACACCCTTCTTCTGCAGTTGTCAATGAACTAACCAAATGCTTTGCTTTAAAGGATTGAACCCGAGCCAAAAAAAACACGGAGCTGTAACTGCGATATATCATTCTTCAGCTCTAATATATGTCCCTAAAATATGCCTTGTCTTTTAATATTGGGAAATATTTGTGAGTTGTTTAACATATGGGACAATGTTGGAGCTTGTAGTCATTTGTATGTATTCACGTACAAAACACGGTTACAACAGTTTTAAAGGGTCTAATATAAGCCAAAAAAAGCATGGAAATTTCAACACTCCCTTCTTAACTCACGCCATGGGGCTTAGGTAGTGCGCAGAGACACTTTGCAAATAGCCACGCACTTCTGTGAAACCCACTGGGCTGCGTGGCGCTTTCAAGTTTAACTTTTAATTTGGGTCTTTAGAACTTAAAAGTCCCTCACTCTTCCGCCTGCCCTTGGGTTACACGAAAATCTCGTTTCTCTCTGATTGTTTTTGCCAATCTGAGTGAAAATACTGGTTCCGCTCGGTTTAAGAAATAGGTGGTTTATGAAAACATGTTCGGAGGCACCCAGTGAAAGAAATAAGCTGTGTAATGCTCTGATTAGGAGTGTTGGAAACCGGGGTGTTTCTAGAAGGTCCTGCTCATCGCATCCCGAGGGGTTCGCAGAGCGTCCGCTGGCTCGGGGCGCTCTGCGGACCTGACCCGGAGCTGTGAGCCCGGCAGCGCCCTTGCAGCGCGTGGGCCTCAACGGCCCTGGCATTTTTGGGGGGTTTTATGACATTTGGTAATTTCAACTGGAGATAAGACCGGTGATGTTGCTGCTACGCGCACAGATCAATGAGCGTGTAAGCGTACGGCAGCAACGAACAGCTTTTGACAAGTGTGCTGTTGCGCAATAACGCCTCCCACAACCCCCGGCATTTTGCAGCCACGCTTCAGTATAATTCTCTAATAATTCGAGTGGACTCTTCTTAACTTGTCCTGTTGGGGCAGCCCTTCGCTTCCCCTTTTTTGCTCGGCTCCTGAGCGCGGGGCATTAGTGCAAGCGGCAGGGGGATGGCCACGGGGATGCGGGCACGATTCCCGAGCGCTCGGACACCTCCGAGGGCTGTGGCCGGGAGGTGTGTTACTATGCCGCGTGGGAATGGGAACCCTCACCCGGCACGGGGATGGGTGCTGTGGTTGCTAACACCGCTGCGGTGGAAGCATTGCTCTACAAAAACCGCTGTCAGTCTGTGCTGGTCACCTCTGTATTTGTGATTTTTAGGAGAAATCTAAATATAGTGGTGATGACCAAAGCGCAGCGCTCTTTGCTGGAGCGGGGGCTGCCCAGACTGCTGCATCCCGGCTCCGCTTACTCCAAATGTCTTCGCCCTTTTCCCAGCAGGTCTTCGAACTCCCCCAAGGAAAGGTCCCGTCAACCCTGGTGTCACACAGCTGGCATCTGCAGAGCCACACTGTAGTTTTCTTTCCATCCTCCTCTTTCTCGTGGCGACTGAGAAAAAGCTTGACAATCATCCAACTTGAACCGGTTATAAACTGGTGTATGTTGTTGACTTGAACGGAGTTGCTCCTGATTTGAGGTGGTTTTCCAGGCAAGAAAGACTTTGTTGTTACTGGGAATAGGTATTGCTGACCCCCTACCCGTGAACCACCAATGTCTGCAGACAAGCTGTGCTTAAATGAGGGCTTATACTGCATTTTCTTTTTTGGATATGTGTTTTTAGAATACATTTTCATGTGGCCAGTGTCTAGCAGGGAGCCTGCGCGTTGGGTGTTGGAGCGAGCCCCGTGGGGAGGAGCGGAGAGAAGTCGCAGAGCCGCCTGCATTATTCAGCTCCTCAAACAACTGCTGGCATGTATCAAAAAACCGGGCGGACGTGGTGCTGAGGGACATTAGTGGTGGGTTTGGCAGTGTTGGGCTGATGGTTGGACTTGGTGATCCCTTCCAACCCAGAGGATTCTATGATTCTGTGTACTCACGCACAGCTTGCTCTGTGTGCGTCTGGAGTCCCGCTACCCCTCTATAGGTAGTTTGTGTTTTCTTAAGAGTATCTGCAGAGTCGTTCCTCGGCGCAGCAATAAAATGCGCGTGGGCAGGTAGCTGCGATGGCCATGGCGCATCCGGGGTCCCTTCTCATCGCCGTTCCTGCTTCCAGGCGTGCTCTTTGGGAATGCTTCTTATCCTCTGACTTGGGTTGTCTTGCTAGTACATTAAATCATTTACCACCTTACAGTAACTTCCTTCTAAACCCCCCGTAGCTTAATGGAGCATTTCACTGCAAGGATTAGATTGAGGTTTCAGGCGCTGCCGAAGAAAGCTGCTGGCTTATGTGGTGACCTTTGAATCTCATCTGGGTTAGTGGTTGATATTTTGATTTGGTTACTGTGGTCATATTGTGACAGCTGCCGGTTCATTATAATTCAGTTCCTCTCCTCGGTTTGCCTACCAGGAATATTTAGGTTTATCTTGCTTCAAAGTGTTCTAACCACCCTGAATTTGAACCCGGCACGCCGCACAAGGTGAAGCGTTGGGAGCGCTTTTGGTCACCAGCCGCCGTCCGCCAGACCGGCAGGCACAGGGAAGGGCAGGGAGAGACTCAGTGCGAGAGAAAACTTTCCCTGAGGTTTACAAAGTTGATTTAACCCGGTTTGTTGAATGCAGGAAAAATGAGAATAGAATAGAAAAGATCAGAAGCACTTTTCTTATTTTGTTTCACGGACAGTTTGTGTTCTCCTCCCCTTCATATGTAGTATTTCTGCTGTTCCCGGTAGTGATTTTATATACCTTATTGAAAAAGTTCCCACACTACCAAGTAGAAGACAGTATTTAACTTCTGACATTGCTTTGAGACTCTCTAAAAGGGTGTAAAGTCACTGAATGTAGATCTTTTAATAGTTGCAGGAGTTGGTTGGTGATTTAGTATGTGAAGACGAAATCTTTGCTTTGCTTTTCTCCTTCTGTTGCTAAACACAAAACGAAGAGCAGATACAATGACTTACTCTTAATTCCCGCCTGCTTGTCTGCTTCCGGTCGATCCTGCACCGCTTTGGGCTGTGCTCTTACACCATCTCCTGCCCGCCGTGCTTTCGGGAGGGCTGGCGCGTGCGTTTGCCAGAGACGGGCACTTGTATCGCAAAAGAAATATTTTCCCCTCTGGTTTCTTCCCTTTTCCTTTTAGGAATCTCCAAGTCTTAATTTTCCTCTTAGCACGGTTATTTCGGCGAAGGTGACGTTTTCTCAGCGTTGGAGGGGCCGAGAGGAGCGGGTGCCAGCGCCGTACGCTGCCCGCCGTGCGGGGTCAGGCTCCTGGGGAGCCCGGCTCGGCGGCCGATGCGCGGTGCGCTCTCGGCACGTTGTTCAACGTCTTTGTGCTCCGATGCGCCTTCCTATTTATCTGCCTGAAGAACGCGCACTGTGTGTTTCACAGGGATATTGTGAGATGTGATGAATTACCGTCTGGAAAACATCCTGAGTTCCTTGGATACTCCGTACACATGCCAATTTTTAATATTATTTTTAATGCTGTGATAGTATTTGTCTCCGTATGAATATTGCTGTGGCGTTTGCTTTTAATCCGTACAGCTTTGATTCCGTTACTGTTATTATAAGTAGAACTGGAATTTTTGCAGATTAGTTAAGTTTACCCAACACGGCATTATAAGGCCTTGCTTTCAATTGCTAAACTATAAACATTTGGGATGAAATTTTCCATGCTGTGTATCTGACTCAGCCTGATTATTATTTTTTTAACCTTCTGCAGAAATGATTTCAACATTTCCTAAAATGAGATTACATTTCATCCTGGCAGATTTTTGATTTTCTCAGTTAGCGTCTGGCACATCGCGCACATTAATTCTTTTTCACACCACCTCTGTTATGTCAGGTGGCTTTGGTTCTCCTTTTGCAGCTGGAGAAGCGAAGGTACGGGAGGAACCGTGAGGGAAACGTCCAAACCGGTCCAGTGATTTTTTTCAGTTGTAAGTTCGAAATGCAAAAGGGTTTGATGGTGTCTCAGTTGTCGCGTTCAGTGGCACCCAAAGATGGGGGAAAATCGCGGGTGTGATGCTTCAGAGGGGTCATCCGCGTTATGGGAACACACGCTCGGCAGCCACTTACTCCTCCTCTTAGTGGTGGCTGCTTCTTAGTGCTTCCTAAAGCTTTTTTGGGGCAAATGCAGTTCGTTACTATGAGT